ATGTCACAAGTATCAAACCAAGCAATAAAAAAACACGTTTATGACAACCAGTGTGCCCCTGCGTTGTGTGCCCTGCAATGGACAAACAAAAAATAAGAATGTTTATGACTACAAATGGTAGGTTCATGTTGGTGAAATTCAGCGTGCCTATGCGTTTTGTGGTCTTACAATAAGCAATGATCCAATGAATCCAATGGAATAATAATATCATATATATCTTCTATACACACTTCCCCACGGCACACCGACCTGAGACAACTTCAGGGGAGACGAGACAAGAAACCACATGAACCCAGTATGTTGAGTATGGGATGGGGATCTAAAATCATTTGAAATGCACTGACACAATCTGCTGTATAGAGATTGATCATTTCTATTCCCACCAATCCAAAAGTTATTGGAGTTGAACCAAGTAATCTGGCACACCCATAAACCCAACAATCGGCCATGGTTAATTATTAGCTTTTGCCACATTATCGGGAATCAAGGCAAACAAAATCAAAGTATCAATAGTTGCAGTTGCTAAACAGTCAGAACATACACATGGGAATCCAGTGAAACCCCAAAAATATGCCAACGAAAATGGCACATTTTAGCGCCAACAGAATCAAACCTCAACCACATCATGTCATGTCCATTCAAACATGTCCCACAACAAACCGCGTCTGCTGCGATTTTAAACATTTTAAACCATGCCTGCAAGAGCACGGCCAACTCATCCGTAACCTGCATGCTGTTGAGGTGCAAGTTAGGCAACGCCTGACGTGCGCGAAACTGGTGGGTTGATGGGTTGATGGCTTTGTTGGACCAACTTCATCTGATATTTGGGGTGAACATGTGGAATGTCCCCCAAAAAAAAACATCGAAACAGCTATTTTCAATGGTGAACATGATGATAAACCACATGATATTCTGATTCTATCCTATTTTAAGGAGAAAATCCAAATGTTGGTCACAAAGAAACAGCCTTGACCGTAACACATTAACACATCTATAGATGTGCTTTCTGGTTAAATTTTGAAGATATCAAAAGTCTGTTTGTCTATGATTCTCCCACCAAGCATCCAAGGATTCCGCATAGGGACGAAGGTTACTTGTGGCTACACCGAAGGAAGTGGAGAGACACAACGATCACACACGGCCCTTCACCGTCATCCCGAATAATTCTAAAGGTAGAACATACAAATACTTATAAATTCATAAAAGAATGAATGTCCTGAGAAAACCAAAAGAAGGGAAACTCATGCCTTTTGTAACTCTTGGAACCAGACCGTGAGCCTGAATAAAAAAGACTTGAAGTTTCATCACATGACCTGCAATTCCTGCCTCAAGGTGATCTATAGAATCTAATTATGGATGATTTTCCATGATTTTCCAACACTTCTGATGTCCGCCAGATGTTTCAGATGTCGCCTGCAAGTCCTCTGCCACCTCTTTTGGCGCCGTTGCCAGCAGCTCCTGGGCATAAATCTGTAAGAAACGATGCCATAAATATCCACTGGTTGGTGGTGCTGGCTGTGCCCATCTTGAAAAATGATGGAGTGAAAGTCAATGGGAAGGATGACATCCCATAAATATATATATATATATATTATGATTATGAAATGGGAAATTTCAACAATGTTTGAAACCACCAACCAGACCATAAATCACTTGATTCTAACATGGTTAAGTTATCTTGGTGATACCCTCTCTCATCATGGGAAACTTCCAGCTGTGACTTGGCTTAAGCCGCGAAGCGCCTCCTCAGTGAAGGTACAGCTCCGGCAGGTTTCGCACCTTTGAGAAAGCCACCACACACAACGGTTGCTGGGAAAATCTACGGAAAATGCCATGAACATCTGGGAAAACCATGGAAAATGCCAGAAAATCTGGGACAAATCTGGGACAAACATCTTCATTCTTCAGGTCTGGTCTTTAGTCTTTTTGATGGGCATATCCTGGGACTCCTGGGACCCTGGCCGCGATGGCAAGGTAAAGCCATACGTCCGGAACAGCAGGGGATTGGAAAAGTCACCATAGCTGATCAAGACCTCTTCACCTGCGAAAAAAGATTCGTCAAGAGTTTCGAGAGGTTCATCCAATCGCTGAGGATGAACAACCTAATTCCCAATGGTAATATGGATATCCCTATTCCAATAATATGGTTCCCCCCGCCATCGGCTGTCTAGCCGCCTAGCCATCCAGGTGCCGCAGTAAGCGCCGCCTTGTTTCAGATCACGGGTGGTTGTAACAATGACTGCACCCGATTCCTGCACGGCGAGAGCTCACAATGAAAAACACGAGCCGAGCCTTGAGAAGTTGGGATACTTTGCAACTACATCACAGGTTTCTCTCAGTTGGATGGCAACCAATCTCTTCAACTCCTAAACATCTCCGCCAAAAGCGGCTATGGGTCAGTTGTTCACCCTAATCTCCATTTGTTCACACCTCACCGGGATTTAGGGATGTTCATCCAGCATTTGCTCAGCTGGTTCCATATGTGCCATCTCCAAATCTCCAAATCTGTTTGAATTATACCCCCGTTCCCATGTAAAGAAAACTGATATCCCCATTCCAGCGCGGCTCATTCCTCCCCTCTTTCCCAGCTGCTTCCCTGTGACGGGCCTCGTCCCAATCGCTCGACGCATTCGGCTCCCAGGAATGGTTGAGAAAGTCAACCCCTGCAGGGGGGAATTCTCATCCTGTTCGTGATGTTCATGACCAATTGGGGGTATATCATGGTATATCTGGTTCATCCCCCTAATATCCCCCTAATATCCCCCTAATATGAAGTAACAAAAATAAGAGAGCTAAGTCATGAATAGATCCAGTACTAAACCATAATGGATTATTGGTTTACCCCCAGCAATTGATAGGCTGTTTGAACTTTCATCATTCTTCGCTAACTTCTGGACACAGGCTGGACTGACCTCGAACCCGCGTGAGTCCAAGTCTACTCCCGTTGGATTCAAATATGTATGCTAATTGTTTCGTCATCCCAAGAATTACTGGATGTACCATATCCATCATAACCACCAAACAGATGCCAAACATGTCGTCACTTCTCACTATTTCGACACATTTGGGAGATCTGATGAAAATTTGAAAATCATCAGATGAATCATCAATCACTATATTTGTTTCAGATGTTTTTTGACATGCTAGTGATTTTTGATCATCATATCAATATAAAATCATCATCATAACCACAAAAAATTATATAATCATCCCAAATATATCCCAATTATGGTCACTAGCATATATTATCACAAACATAAGTGACCATAATTGGGATATATTTGGGATGATTATATCATCATAACCATATCTTTGGGATATTTGTCACTTCATCCCCCGAAATGTCGTCGCTCCCTTCGTCGGCTCCGCCTGGCACCAAGGCGGAGCCTTCAGGGCCACGGAAGCGTCGTGTCAGGAGACAGAGCCAGGCCTGGAGGAACAGACCTGGGCCACCGTGGCCATGGCAAAAAAAAACATGGAAATTCATGGATGGAAACAGCTATTAAGATACTTTGATGATGATTCATGGATGGAAATATCTAAGATCTATAACTGCAATAATGATTTAATATGATTTAATATGATTTGAGTCGTTGAGTCGTTGAGTCGTGAGTTATTCTGTAACAGCTATGGAGACCTCCATCGTTTCACCACGTAGTTTTGATGTCCCGCCTTCGTCGAAATTCGGCATCTCTTTGGATCCCACGCTGCGCATGCAGCCATACACCGTCCTGGCGCGGAGTTGCAACATACATCGATGCAAAATGTATCACTATATAAATTACATATATATATATATATATGTATTCCCATATATATATATATATATATAGATTGATTGATTGATTGATTGATTGGTTGGTTGATTGATTGATTGATAGATTACTTGGTTGACTGATTGATTGATTGATTGATTGATTGACTGATTGATTGATTGATTATGTCATCACCATTTCCGGAATATCATGTGGGATGGGACCCGGCCTGACGTAGTCCGCTTGCGCCCTGATCAACTCGGGCTCTGCAGAGCAAGGAATCTCCAAGGCTCGGCGCTCCTGACACCGCGGTGGCATCAGATATATCATGTATATATATATATATATATAATGTATATGTACTGAATATTATGTATACTCATATACTGTATATTATGTGTATATGATATAGAATTATGATATATAATGTATATTATGTGTATATATAATGTATACTATGTGTATATGATATAGAATTATGATGATCATTTTCATTCCTACCTGATCTCATCTGATCTTATCTGTTCTCATATGATCTCATTTTTTTAGTCAATCCACCTGAAAAAACCTGTCAATTGGACTCACTTGCCACATCGACCGAACATCAAAACGTCTTCGCAACCAGGACAGCGATTGCCGCTTTGGCCCCCCTGAAGTTTCACCATCTGCAACCGAAAGTCCCAAGCAGCGACATAGGGATGTGCTCGAAAGTCCTGGTCGCTGTTTCTGTACCCTCTGATAATCAAACATGACCATTGAACATCGACTATAAATAAGGTTGAATGGGAAACTCATCAAACTAAATCGCTGGGGTTTTCCAGCAATCTATGTTTGATGATATACCAGAGGGAACCAGAGGGTATGTCTATGAAACAAAAACCCAGAGGTTTTCAGAAGTTCTTGTCAGAATCAATCAGAATCAGTGAATTGCAAACGCGTTCTTTGGCATATTCAATGCATATTCCCGCGGGCTTACATCTCATGACAATTCACAAGTATTGGACGCCGGTAAATCGTCAACATATGCGTTTGGGTCAAAACTATTGACCGTATGAATAGCTACTATGTATATATATATATATGTATATGTATATCTATATCTATATGTATATGTACATGTATATGTATATGTATATGTATATGTATACCCTAACCTTCCAACCACAGCTCAAACAATGGGGGTTACGTAAACCACCTTTCTTTGTAAAGGGGAAATCCTGAAGTTGGCATGCGCGATTTTTCCACTCACCGCCCTCGCTTCAACCTATCAGCCACTTGCTGATTGAACCTCAGAATTCATGTGCATTTCAGCATCATAGCTCAACATCACTGACCAGCACATAGTTCATTTCAGCTCAAAGAACTATTCAATCAGTCAAGCAACCTCCGGACTTTGAGATGCGTTTGCCAAATCCTGGCATAAACAAGCCAGAGATGAGACACCACCCCCTGAAACTGCAACCCTTACACTGTTGGTGAGGCAGCTAACATAGCAGACTCCTGAGTTTTGATACTCGAATGATCCATCGTGACCTCCATCCTGGATGTGCCCCAAAGTATGTTCCTTTGCGCTCGCCAGGGCTTAGCTACCAAGCAAAAACATATTTCAACTAAAATGCGACTACACCAATCTGGAGGATTGCTTAAAGCTGTGGTTGGAAGGTCAGGGGGTGTAATTTCTAAGTCAACTTTAGATTAACCCTTAATCCAGGAACCATACTTCACAAGAATGCATATCAAGCTTAAGGGCCTAGGAACTCTTTAGCCAAGACATGGCATCCTCGTCCACGAATCCGCTCCACAGACGGACGTTGGTACCTCAGCTGTGCATGCAGTTTGGCACATGAATTAAACCAAAAAAGATCTCAAGGATGAGCATGGTGTAGCGCGAGAATTCACCATATGTTTGCTATACGATGTACGTATGATATATATATTTATATGGAAGGTCAGGGTAAATTAATATGATTTTTATGGGTAATATATATGTGATATATATGATATATATAATACATATAATATCTATATAAAATATATAATATGTAATCATGAACCTCCACATATGCACAAAGAAGTAGTTGAAGCCAAGATACGGCGTTTTTTGATCATCCACAGCATGTGCCATAGGGCCTAGGTTGGCTGGAAACTTTGGAGACATGAATGCTACTATATATAATAATTATGGCCCTCATAAAAAAAAACATGTACATGTGTATGGCAGATTTGCCCAGGCACATGCACCTTGGGTCGCATACCCAATTCGAACTTGCCGGCCCTTGGACACAGTTGTGAACCACAACATGTCCAGAATCATTTCAATTCAACAGCATTTCAAAACCTACTAATGGTTCTTCTATGATAGGTGATGCACTAACACATTCTAAGTGACGGTTGTGTCTTACCATGTTGAGAGGCACATCGTCTATCTTGATCAAAGGGTCGATGCAACCAAGGGACCGCACAGACATGATGGCCAAAGATCGGTAAATCTGCAGAAATTGTTTGCCACTCTCGAAGATGGAGTTTGCTTGTTGCTCACTCCTGCATGGTTTCAAAAGTGATGTTCATCCAAGACTGCCAATAAACCTTTGACCATGAACTCAAAATATATTAAGCATCCATCAATAATGGATAAGCAAACATCGTATTATAGTAGTGACATATCGTATGGTATGACCATGGTTGATGGATCAAAGGCAAATCTGAACATAAACAAAATAACGCAGCCCTGCATATGGTGTCTTTCTCCATGACTCCCACATGAATTGGTTTGTTTGTACCCTTGTTGGAATGGGGCTTTCGTGCACTTAATAATCAACTATATTAGAAAAAAATCACCCTAGCCAATTGGGTCCAAACCAATCTCGCACTTAATAATGCGACACATGACCAATAATTGGTATGTAATCGAGTAATTAATGGCCAGGACCCTGACTGAGACCAGATATTATTTGTATATAGTTCATCTTTTGTACCCCCATCCCGCACTATACAGCCTAGAGGCAAATACCTACCAGCGTGTTCCATTTCGGTCAGGAATCGATTCATGTGTCTCCTGAAGTGGCTGCGACATGCCGGGGCACCCATGATGGGGTCCTTCATTGCAGCCCTCTGCGTCCCAACCAAATCTATGGGTTCAACATGGTTTAACAAAGCTTTATGAGGGTCATAGTCAAATTTGTAGGCCACAATCTTAGATGAGCCGGTTGTATTGTAGGATCTTCTGATTCAAGAATTTATATCAAATGATATGAGATATTGAGTGCATCAAAACCAATAGTATGATTGATATTGAAACAATACTGCTGATGATAGCCAAGAATCAAAGCAGCTGCAATCATGAGGGTTCGTTCATCAAGATTGGCAAATTGCTGGTCTTGGCTTGCTAAATAAACTGTTTCATCCAACCATGCCAGAATGACTCGCCCATTGTATGCTTTCGCAGTCAAGGATATGATGCCTCCCTTCTTGTAGATCTTAGCCAGCCGAGATTCAAGCATTGGCACCATATTATATTATTCTACTCATCTGGTCAATGAAACTATTGATCATATTTCGGGGTAGGGGACCCAAGCAACAAAAAGAAACACTAGCAAAAAAATGCAGCTAAGCTTGTTTCTGGTCACCATCTTTGGTGTGAAGTCAGGTTGGCTGCATTGGATCTTGTTCTTCGAAATGAATGCTTTGAAGTCACGATGTGCCCTGGCCAATTTGACATGCGAGTTGATCCCAGGCTCATTGCCAAACCACCCGCCTTGCACCAATAGATTCCTCAGCTCAGTAAATTTCACCACAGGTTTTCTGTAACCGATAGCTTTGTTAGGATGCTATTTTCCCATTAACTTGATTGAAGCATATTCACTGCGTTGTTCACGGTACAATCCATTTTGCAGGATAGAAGAAAATATGAAACTCCTGTATAAATGGCTTAGTTTGTATAAAACAACTAATTAATAGAAAATGGGATTTATAACTTGGTCAGTTGTTATAAATTTGGTTTCTGCATAATAAGTTCAAGATCAATAATGACCATTGTAACCATATAAGTTCATACATGATTAATTGGTGGGGATGGTTGCCACACAAGTTGGATGACAAAAAGGATTTATAATTTGCAAGCGGGAGTCAATGCTGACCCGTTCACGGTATACAGGATCCCAAGGTTGACCACATGCATCAGACACCACCGAATAGTGGATGGGTGAAAGTTTGTGACACCAAGAAGGGGGCCTTGATTGCTGGGGCCGGATGACCGAAAGCATCATATTCTTTTTTTTTGGGTCTCTAGATCTGAATTTGGGTATTGCAGTTGACGAACACTGGGATCGATATAGTACATGCTATTTAAAAAACGATAATGCAGGCTTGATCGATATATTGATGCTTTTTTAAAGGAAAAACATACATCAAATGGTTCACATTGCAATTGAGAAACAAATGCCAGTTTCAGGCATCCGTTCAGCAATGAACTGCTCTGTTGTGAAATGGTGGTCATCCCAGGAATTGGACTCAAACATCCAATAAAGGTCGGCAGAGTTTGTTGATGAAGACTTTGCTGGGCATTGGTGGCACATATTTATCGCAGCCCAAGAACATCTCTTGAATCTCCACACTTTTTTGTGCCATGCCCAATCTCCCCTGATTTCTGTCAGTGCATACCGGTGTTGGAACGGTTTGCCAGAGAGTTCTCGCAATCGAGCATTGAGATCTTCTCCATAAACACCTGCTCGAGGATGTTCTCCATGGATTAAGCTGTTAATGGACCAAGCTAACCGGCGATACACCACTCGTAGGGTTTTGCTTCCCCAAAGGGACTGCTCGGGGATGGCAAACACCAAGAACCGGGAAAATCTTACTGACATAGGTTTCCATAGCACCAGGCTGATGAAAATACCGACGAGGTTCACAAAACCAAATTCTGTTTGGCATTTGGCTGAGTCTCCGTAAATTCCCATAGGGATCCGGTCAGTTTCATCATGCTGAGCCCAAGGCTCTCCAAAGGTTCGGTGATGGTGCCAATATTCACGCACTGAGATTGGTGGGATTTTCAAACCAGACTTCTCCAAGAAGGCAATGATTGAATGAGGATCTAGAAGTGGCCATTTTTCCAAACGATATTTGTCATCTCCATCAGCCAAGTCTGTGTATTTGACGGGGATCTCGATCCATTCCATTTCCTAGCATCATGGGGTTTTACCTGGCATCCAATGGCCTGATTCCTTCAACTTAAATTAATCATGTTTCTGTTTTTTTTGCAAGAAGTAAATGGTCAACATTAGATCTCATACCAAGAATCTGGACCCCCCTTTAAAGCACGCCACCAATCCCGTGATGAGTTCTTGCCGCATACTCGTCCCAAACGTCGAACCATAGGATGAAGACACTCCCGCAAATGGTCCTAGGGTCACATGGAACATGTCATGTAAATTAGACCCCTGCGATGGAATGGTGAGGGCCGGGTGGTTGGGTCTCTTCCGACATGTTGTGCATATCGCATCTTAATTGGTCTATCAGGATGAGATCGGCTATTCCCTGTTGACTGTACTACAACTATCATCATGGATGTTTTATTTCATGGATCTGACAAGCAAACAGGCCACCATTTCAGCGATATTTGTTCGGATTGTTCATAGTATAGTTCATCTACAATTATATCAGAGTTCATAATCATTGCATTCACACACAGTCGTACCATCTTGATGGTAAAAGCACATCCTAGTATTGTGTGTCTGAACTAGCCTTCTTATTTTGATGATGTCAGTTTGTGTTCATCAGCTGATCAACAGAAGTATGATTAAATAGACTAGTATGCTAAACCAACCGTAGACATAATGATGAACATATTATACACAAGATCTCCACTTCCATAAAAAAAATACGAACGATTTGTATGTCAATACCACATCCACCCTATACCAGTGTAACCACTAACAGCACTGTGACAAGATCAGTAAGATTAACAGTCTCATCATCACCAATCGCAAAAAACATCATTCTTCAGCATGATCAACAACAACAGCAAGAACAACAACTTCAACAGAACCACCAGAAGCAACAGCAAAAATAACTACCGCACCAACAACAACAACAACAACGACAACAACAACAGACAACAACAACAACAACAACAAACCAAAACAACAACCGACAACAACAACAACAACAAAAACAAAAACAAAAAAAAACAATCAACAACCACCAACAAAAAACAACAACAATAGCAACAAATATAACAACAACCAACAACCAACAACCAACAACAACCTACAACCAACCAACCAAGCAAACAACCAACCAACCAGCCAACCAACCAACCAATCCCTCACCAACCAACCAACCAACCAACCAACCAACCAACCAATTCCTCACCAACCAACCAATTCCTCACCAACCAATTCCTCACCAACCAACCAACCAACCAACCAACCAACCAACCAACCAATCCCTCACCAACCAATCCCCCACCAACCAACCAACCAATCCCTCACCAACCAACCAACCAACCAACCAAACAACCAACCAACAACCAACCAACAACCACAACAACCAACCAACAACCAACATCAACAAAAACCAACAACAAATATACAACAACAACCAACCAACAACTAACAACAACAACCAACAACAACAAAAACAAACAAACAAAGACAAAAACAAAAACAAACAAACAAAACACAAAACAAACAAACAAAAGACAAACACACAAACAAAACAAACAGAACAACAAACAAAAAACAATCAATCAAACAAACAAACAAACAAACAAATAAACAAACAACAACAAACAAACAACGACAAACAACAAACCAACCAACCAACCAACCAACCAACCAACTAACCAACCAACCAACCAAACAACCAACCAACCAACCAATCCCTCACCAACCAACCAACCAACCAACCAACCAACCAACCAACCAATTCCTCACCAACCAATCCCCCCACCAACCAACCAATCCCTCACCAACCAACCAACCAACCAACCAACCAATTCCTCACCAACCAATCCCCCACCAACCAACCAATCCCTCACCAACCAGCCAACCAACAACCAACAACAACAGCAGCAACAACAACAGCAACAACAAATAACGACAACAAACAACACCAACGACAACAAACAACACCAACGACAACAACAACAACAGCAAACAATAATGACAACAACAACCACGACAACAACAACATCATCAACAACAACAAGACCAACAAGAACAAAAATATCATTTAACCCATGAACATCTCATTGCATTCGACCCTGGTTCACAACAACAACAACAACAACAACAACAACAACAACAACAACAACAACAACAACAACAACAACAGAAACATCAACATCAACAACACCAGCAACAACAACAACAACAACAAGAACAGCAAACCCAACAAAAAAAACATGTGCAACATTGCCCAGGAAAACAGCTTTCACAACAGTCGCACAGCAGCAATAACATTTACCATCATCAACAACGAACAACAACAAACATCACTAGTAAAGCCTCAACGTGAACAGCTACTATAGTTATTGTCACTTACCATCTGCCACAATTATGGAAATTTGCGGTCAATGGTCCAAAGTATGCCAGATGATAATTGTTCGATTCTGAAGTATCTGTGAGGCACAGGTATCCTGGCCCGCTGCCCAAGGTGCCTGGGCATTGGCCTTCATATTTTTCATGACCTTCTCAACGCTGGATCCCTCAGCTATGGGTGATGTTGGTGAGGACATGTCGCACAGAGCATTAATCATTTGAGATGATGCGAACATAATAATAATGATATTGGTGATTTTCACATTAGTGCTACATTCTATGTGGGCTGGCTGCCACAGTCAAGGGCCAAAGCTTGATATGTGCAAATAATAGGCCCAGATACTCCACTTGCGATGTCGTTGACCGCATTTTCCAGAGTTGCGGAAAGTTTGGGGTCTGCCGATATATCATCTTCACCTGCGATGGGGAGCACGAATCATGAATGATTAATTACCTCAAAAATGCAACATGTTTCTTTCCCAAAAAAACAATCAGGAAATACTATAAGTTTCCTTAGTGAGGGGTAGCATGGGTGAGTCACCAGGGATATTGTGCACAACTTTCGGATGATTGTTTTTATCTATCGCACTCTGCTTTGTCACTTTCCATGCGTAGGGTCAAGCCACGCTAGCCATAGATTTCAATTGGCTGATATGATTTCTTCAAAACGACTGATGTATCCAAGCTCACTGCCGAGCTGTGATGCGACCAAACTGCTGCATCCCCATGGTGCATCCACACCCACCACACATCACGCAAATGAATCAAAGTCTCCCATAGTCACGGAAACCCTTTCTGGTTTGCTTTTGCTTTACCAAGCAGAAATCACATCCATATGTATAATTATATATATAATTGTAGTTTATATAAAATATATATTAGTTAAATACACGATAATATACTATATATAATCTTGGATTTTCAGGTCATGATGGTTTATGATATTAAAATATCGATGTATCAACCACTCCCAAGAGGTGAAGGTGGATGAACCCTAAAGCAGCAATACGTAATATGCAACAACTCCTAAGCAAATGGCAGGAATCCAGCCGCTGCCAAAATCTAAGCACCTGGCTTGTGCCTGGTGATCAAATAGGCTATCTATTTAAGATTGGCCCTCCCGAGAAAATCCTTGTAATCCAACTCAAGTGCGGCAGCTGCACTCACATCAGCGTCTAATCCATCAACCTTAGATGTTGTAAGATGGACAGTCAAGCACATATCATAAGATTCAGAGTACATACATTTTGGATGAAATCGGTGTACCTTTGCAAAATATCACTTGATCACATGCTCTCCTACATAAGTCATGCATTATACCATGTACCCTCCAATATTGCAATTCCTCAACTATCTGAGGCTACATACTTGAAAACCGAAACTGTTAATATCATTGTACAAATCATAAACCATGATGATGTTGATATATACTTCATCACATGTCTTAGTTGTAGATCATGTTTTTGCAGATGAATTTTACCCCATGTATCAATCAAGCAACATCGTTCATATCGATGTATGCCTGCAGGCAATCCCTTTGTTTTGCGAGTCTCCTCGCAAAATCCTTCAGCTCGCCTTCGATCGCTGCTCTGAGGCCATCAGACCTGGGCACAGCCAAGTTTGCTTTGGGGGCTCAGGAAATGGCTGGTGATGGATGTGGTGGTATAGTATCGGTGGAGGTTATGATATATCAATAGGTGATTGATGATAACGTAAGTTAGTTTTGAGGTGGTAATGAAAACAATCGCAATCCTGGCCAGTATCTTCAAAACTGAAGGATGAGACCATTCAAAATATTTCTGCTATGAGGCATTGATGGTTCAAACGAATGTTGAATGGGATGGCAGGATTGTGAGTATGTGGCCTTGAAAGGTCCATGCTTGCAAGCAGTGATTGTGTGAATAGTATTTGTTCATGCCAAGTGATATGGATATGGGATGAGTAAGGAGAAAATACGATATACATTCACCACCTTAGCAACAAGTGGGCGCGATTGCAATCAGAAAAAATCTAATAGGGATAATACATGATCTATAATATATATAATTAATATATATTAAATATTATATTATCATTATTTTTATTATTATCATTTTTATTTTTATTATTCTTATTAATTAAAGTATACAGTAAAATAGTTCAAATCAATTGGATCATCCAACATTTTTCAGTACACATGTAATGTATGTATGTCATGTGTACTCCAGGTAGGTTGTACATTAGTTGGATATCGATACATACTGCAGTGACAGGGCCCACACTTAGGAAATATGCATCAATCATCACATTGTTCAAAAAGTAGAATGTTCAAGTACCAAAAAATCATATTATTATGTTCATCACAGTCTATAGTTTTCATCAGTTGGGCCTATGAGAAGCTCACACATCATGGTATCATGGCTGAATAGTATTTGATCATCAGAAAAGATCTGATTATGAAATATGTGTGTGTGTGACTGCACCTTCCGGAGTAGAAGTTACATCTGCCACTGGCACAACCTGTTAAGTAGACGACTGCTGTGCTAATGCAACCATCAGATTTGTTTTCATGATTCATCATGATTCACCATGATTCAACAAAACACCCCCTCATTGATGTTACCCTGTGAGGCCGGTTTCACAGCTGTTTGCTGATGTTAATGTGTTATGAGTTGGCCAACATATTGTGAATGGTAACATCTATTATAGAAGTTATCATGGAGTTAAATTGATAAGTGATGCATAGCTGCTACATGAAATAATCAGAACCACCTCAACCCTAGACCAAGCAGTTGTATTAAAATACTGCATGTCCACCATTTGGGCCAACCACTGCCCAACCAAATTATGATCAAAGCCTGTACTCCATCCCCAAAAAATGCATCCACTGTTAATAAGAGCTGCGATTTAAATCAACAATTCATATTATCTGATTCTCAAATTGTTTCTGGTTGAGAAAGGTTGAGATTATCGGTGAACTAGTAAACCAGCAAAAGATACGATCATGATGTGAACCAGTCATGCCAAATGAATCTCACTACTAACGGTTTCTGTTTTAAAAAATAATGATGAACGAGTAACACCATGGACTAGTATGTTTTATGTTTCTCAGCCACCAGTGTAGATCTAAAATATTTTGATGTCTCAAACGATGAGCAAAATATGTTTTCGAGTCGTGGACCCATGGCACTGGATGGGGTTTAAAACAATAGTAACCTACCATGAACTCTTCAAAATAATTTCTTGAAAAATACAAAAGGCATGTGATGTTACCACATGGGATAATCTTCTGGCATGAACCTGCTCCCTTTGAGGAAGAGACAACTGCGCCACAACGGCACACTTTTTGGAGGCATCGGCAACCTTTGCACTGATGCTATTCAAAGCCTGATCGGCAGGACGGAATGATTCAATGTTTTTAAAGATTGAGTTACCATAATTGATCATCATCAAAAAATACAATGATATCGGGACATCATCGTTGAACTAATGCACTCGGTCATTGAACTGATCAATGTTTTAATGCCAATATTATTGCATGAATCCCTATTTGTTCAGAGTGTTTGGGTATATGTTTTAATCAATTACTTGGATAGCCTAAACGTTAAACGACATAGTACGTCAAACTGCATGATGTTGATTGGTAAATATCAAAAATGACAATGGTTCATATATATATATATATTATGTTATTTTGACTGACGTTTCCAGTAGAATGGAAAATACATGACAAACAAGTCATTTTCAAAAAGATAGCATGATGCCAACGACATTCCGTTATTTTAAGAAGTAACGGATTTAGGGGGATTCAGCTCATCACTAACACAAAAGCTTCGCACGATATTCTTTCAGCATGCTAGTTCATTTTGCAACAACCAGCCCTAGCCCAAGCATGGCCAGAACCTAGAATGTTTGATACTGACACTCAGATTAATCGAAAAAAACAAAGTATGTTTAGCGATGTTCAGCAATGCTTTGAACTTAATATTTTTTCACCATGGGAAAACTACATCCACATTATCTTGAACATATGACTCAAGTTTCAGGTCACAACACTTGCCCAAAAAATCCAGGGCCTTCTTGCCCTTTGCCAAAGCTTCGTTCTTCGCCTTGGTTTGCTCTCGTTCCTTTTCCTTGTCAGCCTTCTTCTTCTCCTTTTGCAAGCGCTTTTCTTTTTGCTCCTTGGTCTCCTTCTTTTCCTTTTTGCTTTTGCCACTTTTCTTGTCCTTTTTGCTCTTCTTCTTCTTGTCTTTCTTCTTTCCCTGCATCAATAAATGAGTCCAACGACATCAAGCATCACACTGTTCGACCAGTTACAACCTTTGAACTGAGTAATCCTCATCATGCATAGTGTGTCACAGATATGCAGTAGCAGGGTGTCTAAGATGTGAATTCCAGGTTACCGACACATGAAAAATCAGAACGCAGGTGGTGGTTGTTTAGTAAATTCAGTTCATATAAAATTCAATGTGCAATCATGTGTGTCTATAAGAAATGGTGTAGTGTTACATCAATAACATGAATCAATTTTGCATTGCAAGTATCTGCGCACCTCATCCGAAGACTCACTGCTCGACGAAATTGTCTTGACACTTCCGCTGGAGGAAGATCGCTTGCGCTTCTTTTGAGTCTTTTGTTTGCGACGCTTCTTGTCACCTGAACTTTCAGAACCAGAATCATCAGCATCGATAGCTTCGAACAACTGCTCCACCACCACGTCTGCCTTTTCGCTGACCCCCTCGGAGTCCCAAACGAGAAAGAGGCGCATGGCCTGCCATGCAAAGGTCACAACTTGGCCGGTTAGGCATGACAGAACCTTTAGAACCAAGCCACACAGATTCCAGTTGGTATTTAAAAAAATTATAAGGTCAATGGAAACTATGGTCTGTATTGAATTGGTTCCTTCTAAAATGTTGGCAAGCCAGTGCAGAACTTGAACAAACATATCATGACATTTGTGCTCATAGAATCAGTAAATATATTTAGATTCCCCATGTCACACCTTGCAATGCCACACCGAATGTTTGAATTTGTGTACATCTTCAACATGTAAAGTACATGCAGTACGCATGCACACACAGAATAGCTAACACAAACAATGCACATGTTCCATCAGAAATTGATTCCACATAATTTCATACATGATAGAAACATCACCAAGCCCCATTAAGATTAAGATATTGAACTACATCAGCAGAATGAACAGCAACAAGTGCCTCCAACTTTGAATCTGGGTGTTCCTTTGTCTGTGTCTCCTTGGTGTTCTCATCCGACAACTTATTGTCGCAAATCTCGTCTGCTACAGTCTGGGAACCGTACTTGGCAGCTATTTGTGAACGTGTCATCCACACCCGTGATCCGTGCACACTGGTGCTTTTGCGTGCACGGATTGTTTCCACAAGCTTGGAATCCTTCCAACGCCCACTACAAGCAGTCCA